CGGCGGTAGCTGCTCAGACTTGGCAGGCGGAGGTGAATCGAATTCCCATTTCCTGCCTGCAGCGAAACTTTAACCGTCAGATCGAGGAGGTTTTGTGTATGGCGATGACTCGCCTGCCGGATGCCACTCGACCGCAGAGCGTGGAGGCAGAATGCAATCGATTACGCGACCATACACCATCTGCGCCATCGATGAGACGTCTGGTGATTGACGACGTCGAAGATATTTGCAGGGAATTTTGCATCTCCGATTTCCCGGTAAGTTTCTGATTGTTGTCCCTTGTTTATTGATTGTTTATGACTGTTGTGTCACCTTATTATTTTTTCATATAGGTTTGTGACTGTCGTTGTCCGTGTGACGATGGAGCAATTCCAACCGTCGATTCGCTGGCCAGTGCGAACGCTGATATGTTGCATATTTTGGATGCTGTATTGGTATGCGGTTGTCAGCCTTTGACTATCGATCTTTACATCCTTGAGATTTTAAGCATTTACGCCACGCACAAGTCAGGTGATTTTGTTTCACTACTTTGTGAACGAATGTTCAATGCTTAGCCATCCATCATTCAATTTCTAAGCAGATCTTGCCTGACAATGGTGATATGACGTCCTTCCAAATAATTCTGATCAATTGCAAGGCTAGTTTTTGTGGAGCTATTTGTCTATTGCCCTGCTCATTATGTAGACCCGCTTTCTGGTATTTTACGAAATCATGTAGCAGATACTGGCTCGAACAACGCAGGTTTACCCAGGAAATACCTTCCACTGAACGTCTTAAACGTCAAGGATCTGTTGTTTGCTTATAGTTTATTCCCTTTAGCATTTGGCAGTAATGCGAAACTGCAGATTCCAATGAACGCAGGTTAGTAAATATCTGTTTATCATTAGTATATGTTTTAAACCGCCCTTCGTGTTACTTCCCCTACCCCAAATTGGTAGGAGGGTTACAGCGGATTCTGAACATAATGTACAGCTGAGCCTTTAAGCTCTGGCAGGTTCAACATGCTGTGTTGCCTTCACAAGTACACCCGGCCAAGTGAAAGAAACAACACCTACCAATCCACCTGGCCGACGTAGTGAATTATGGCAAAACCCCCGAAGTTGAGATAATCATGACCCTCATTCCCCGGAAGCTGGATTGCCACAGACGAAGGCAGCAGCTGATAATTCGTAATGGCAGAGTTGTTAGTTATATACGGATTACCGATCCGAGCTGCTAAGATTTGCTGACTCTGTTAACGTACAACCATAGATCACTTCTAGGTCAAACAAAGCTTCATCACAGAGCTAGAAGAACAAGAAAATCGACTGAAACATTGTAGGAGATCGGCATCGATAGAAGATTAAGTAGCAATGTAGTAAGAGTTGACAGCATTTCAGATAGATACGTGGAACACTGTTTTAGTTCAGTTTTTACCAAATGTTTCAAAGAGATATGAAATCGAAGTGAATCAGGAATATGCTCTGGCATAAGACAATCTTTACGAAGAGGGCGAAGATTTCTACGAAAAATTGAAAGATGTGCATTAACACGGAAAGAGGCGTTATCATAATAGTGGCAGTGCGCAATACACATTGCAGTGAGTAACAAATGACCATTGCTGAAACAGACACGTTGTAGTGGTTTGAAGAGTAAGTAGGCGTCTAAATTGATGGCAGGATGAGCTGAGGAATTCTGTTGCATCAACGTGGTCTGTTTCAGATAGAAAGCGGAAGGCTATTAAAATAATACACTGTTAGAAGCTTGGAATAAAACTGTGATTACACTTA